TTTTGTCGGGTTGCTGAGCTAATAATAATGCACACACTCAACATAGCCCCGCACTAGGGAAACCCTGTGTCGCGGGTGCCATGGACACACACATAGAAAATCACAAATTATACCCAAACTCACGAGAGAAACAAATGTAGGTCATATAAATAGTTCTCCGGGCCCGAGAATCGTACCTGGGTCCTCTGCGTAGCAGTCCGGCATGGTAACCGTTCGGCCACGGAGGCAGCAAAGAAAATTACTTTGTTTTGCTTTAGGGTCGAAACACACGACTGCGATGCGACGCCGCATCGCAGAAATCTACGAGCTCCCACGACGCATCGCAAGAATTTTGCGAATTGCTCCGCGTCTCTCATTCGAGCGAAGTTAATCTTCTTTATGTTTTTTTCTATATTTTCTTATTAATACAACAGTTCAACAGTCTTTTTAGGATCCATGTCGCTATCTAGTTTAAAAATACATTCGTAAAACTACGATCGTCGAAGGAATGGCCACCTAAATCGTGGCAGTAAGAGGCTTTGCCTCACGAAATCGCATCGCAGCAATTCGCGTCGCAGTTTTCTGCGTTAGGAAATCGCGCTTACTCACAGTTTTGTGTGGAGACTCTAAGGGCCGTATTCCAGAACTCTACTCAATGCTCAAGTCAGGATCAGAGTATGATTTCAAGCACTGGAAATACGACCCTAATGGCAGGGACTTGAGTATGATTTCGAGTGCTTTAAACTATACTCAAATCCTGACTTGAGCATTGAGCAGAGTTCTAGAATACGACCCTAAGACTATCTACTGAGGCCTCCACAACACGAACGAAATAAAAAGTGCTTCTTAGACCAGAACCAACTACCTTTTGGATCATGTATAGCGTAATTATGATAATATCTCTTTTTTTTTATTGACCAAAATACAGGAAAAATACTTATTAATTACAAACTTCGCTCACAAAAGCCCTTCCGGCTTTATCCGCGGCGAAGGAGTTCAGTCTATTTATGTAAAGGTAATAATATAAAAGACCAAAAATCTTATAAAACTAACTTAATTACTTCTAGCCAAGTACAAAAAACATGCAAACAACATGTACAAATAAATGGCAAACAATAATAATTAAGTAATTTACAAAATAAAGTTTATATCTTTTGTTTTCATCAAATGTTTCTTAATGTATGATTTATAGTGTTTATTGTTTTGATAATTACATATAAACTCCTCACTCATTTTGTTCATTAATGTAGGTAACGAATATTTCCAATTTCTTTTTCCATAATAGTTATTGAATTTAGGTAGTATGAACTTCTTTTGATGAATTATTTTTCTTAATGTCACATTAAGAAAAATATTATTAATGACGCGAGTCCGGGGTAATTTTTGTGAAGTTATGATATTCATCTATTAATAGGGCTGTGTTTAGTTTGTTGTGTACAGTTAATATATTTTGGTATTTGAATAGTTGAATTTCATTGTCTATAAATCTCTTTCTACTTATACCATAACAAATAAAAAAAAGATATAATGTTCTTAATGTGCCATATGGTAGTTTGTGACGCAGTATAGAAAGCTTTGCCGCTATAGCACGTAGTTTTTCGCAAATATAGTTAATACGTGGGCCCCTATTGAGTCTATTATCAATTATGAGCCATATATACATATGATTTAATACAAATTCTATACTAGGACATTTACATTGTGTGTCTTCAGTATGAAGGCATAAATATTTATGGGCGACGATAGATGGTAGGTACGGGAAGTTATTGTGGGAAGAGTGTATATGAATGGCTTTAGTCTTTTGTGCATTAATAACAAGTCCGACATCGTGTGCCCACTTACACAATAAATTAAAAAATATACTAAGCTTGGCGTTCAGCCGCATTTAGATCTGTGTTAGCCGACACGATGCAGTTATCGTCCGCAAATTGGTACACTGAGCCTTCTCTGATTAATTTACACATGTCATTAACATAAAGAAGATATTTGGTAGGCCCTAGAATGGAACCTTGGGCCTCACCCTCCTCCATATTTTTTTTTGTACGCTTGACCTACTTTAACAAGTGTGCACCTGTTATTACGGTAATTTTTAAACCATTGTAACAGGGGGCCCTGTATACCATTCTGACTTAATTTATTAAATAATGTATTAAACCTTAAAACATTAAATGCCTTTGTAAAGTTAATGAAAATTGCAATCATGATATTTTTTTTCCAAATGATTGCAAATCTCATTAGTAAATTGACACAGTGGCTGTGTGGTACTAAGGTTTTTTGGAATCCAAAATGATTTTCATTGATTATCTTATTTTTATATAGATATTTGTTAATTTCGTTTGCAAAGTACCTCTCCATGATCTTGTCAGTACACGAGAGTATGGTTATTGATCTATAATTATTGTAATCTTGGTGTCCAACCCTTTTTATATATAATGCACCTATTAATTAGATGTATAATTACCGCCTTTTTGGTTGTTTCTGAGGGTCGTATTCTAGAACTCAATAGGAACAAAAAGATGCTCAAGTCAGAATTTGAGTATGGTTTAAAGCACTCGAAATCATACTCAAGTCCCTGCCATTAGGGTCGTATTTCCAGTGCTTGTGTTTCGAGTGCAATCCTGACTTGAGCATTGAGTAGAGTTCTAGAATACGACCCTTAGATTTGTGTACATAGTGTAACCATTTAGATGGAATAATAGTGAACATTATATTGATAGATATTGGAAATATTTGCTTGAGTTATTGCCACAATATAAATTTTTGCATTGCTATTTGAAATTACATAATCTAGTTGAAAAAAAATTTAAAATTAATGATCTAATGTTAACATGTAATATTATAATATTGTTACTACTTGACGGAACATAATTTATGAAACTATTCCAATCCTCATGAGTAGATTCTATTATGTTATTCGTAATATCCAGAGTGATTAAACAAAGTTTAAATAGGTATTTTTATACAATACAAACCTACAATACAATAAAAACCTAGAAAAACCTCAGCATAAGACATATTGTGATCACTTTACCGTTTTGGAGACCCACTTTTCCATGACATCAATGTCCTTTGTAGACCTGATGACGTTTATTTTATCTTTTTCTCCCTGTCTGACGAGGATATTTCCATTTTGCACCAGACGAATTTCACAATATTTTTCTCTTTTAATTCTGTTTTAGTCTTCCACAATAGAAAAGCCGTAGCTGGCGTAAGCGCGTCCCGTATATATATTTTTGAGTCACCATTCATTCCAAGGTCAAGTGTGGACAATTGTGTGGATTTCGCTGCATCTATCCAAACGTCACACATACCTTCTCTTAGAGTAACAACCAACGTAGATTGGTTCCTTCTCTGCACAGAAGCCGACCGGCTGTCTTTTCGGTATATCTTGATAATATCCGTTGGTTGAAGGTTTTCATGTTCCGTTTTTTGTATACCACATATCTCGATATTTTTGCAGAGAAGATATTGTTCTAGGTTATTTAGTTTTAGCTCAGATGCTTCACACCTCAAACTTAAGTTTTTTATATTTGTTGTTTAGGTTATTAAACTGGTTGGAGACATTTTTTACCCTGTCTTCATACTCAGACATTTTTAACGTAAAATCATCAATTTGGTCGGAATAAAACTTGAGTGATCGTTGTAGCTCGTCCCTAATAATCTTTCTAATTTCACGTCGTGTTTCAATAACTAAATCTTGTTTTGTTACTTGGTTCCTGCCTAATTGGTAGACTTTCACCGTCAGATTGTTCGTCATCATCCGCATCAGGTAAAATGGCGGACAATCCCTTTGCTTTAGCCGTTCCTCTGCAAGTGCGGCACTTCCAATCTATAGAATCCGTTCCTACCACAGTGGTAAGCTGTTTTGACGAAATTGATGCACATGAGGCATGAAGCCATTTACTACACTTGCTGTACTGCAATCCCGGTGACTTTATTGACACAGTCTTAGCACAACCATTACACTTTGCCATTTTTATACTTTTGTTATTCTAGCGTAGATAATATGGTAAATTATCATGCGAACGCGCCCTCTCGGATCGCGGGCGGCAACCGAACTAACCGTTAAATATGATAACAGCTTCCTACATGGATCTTACTTCTTTATTTTATATTCTCATTATCGATATCGATGGCATACACTATACTATTGTGGCCTACAACGCAACCACGCCGAACGGCGTCGCTAGTAGCCGCCGTTAAATCCTCAAGTCTACAGATGTTGGAGCACGCAGGCCCGAACCACCGCACAAACAAAGGTTATAACTATCCGAAAATCCCCACCTGAACAAATTGTCCCTACTCCGACCAAACTGAGCCCGAATCCTATTTATAAACTTTCAGATCGGCCAGGGCTATTCATGTCCAGGAAGACTCTCAGAGGGTCTTTGTCCTAAAGGTAGATGGTACTCTTACGCCCCAAAGGTAGCATCACCTGGCCTAAGCTGTATCAATGCTCAGAGAATCGACATATTTGATGAAACTTTTCCAGCTCCTCAGTCTCTGCTGGAGTGTGAAGTGATCGTGTATAGGGTGCCGAGTATCGATAGCAATTTTGGCTCTTTCCCAAGAGGCTACTACAGTTCTGCCGAAGTCTGGCGGAACTATACCAGCCAGTCGGTACTGCAATATTACCGGGGTCGGCTTAAGATATCCAGTTTTGATCCGGTAAGTTTTTCATTTAAGGCTGTATCCACTAACTTTGCATGGGTAGAACGACTCTAAACAGGGCATGCATATTCACCAACTCAAAATAAAAGTGCCAGCCCAGTAATACGCATGATCTGCGGCGCAGCTCCCCATTTGGTGCTGGTGAAACGCTGCAGTAAATTATTGCGCGAGTGTACCTTCTCTTTCCATTTTATAGTCATTATTATTGTTTGTATCAGTGACGATCTTATCATATCCTTTGACATTTTAAATAGCATCTCTAATATTGTGATATTGACGACATAAATGATTATTATATTTTACTCTATTGTTACAAATAACAAAAGTTGCAAAATAAAAACAATACTTACTTCAATTTCTTGCAGTTTTTTGCCAATTTTAGCATTTCTTGTGTACCACGAGTATTGATCAAAATCGCTTTCTTTAGATGCTCCATAAAGTTCGTAGTAGCGGCCGCGTGGAATATTACATTTACCTTAAATAAATTGCACAAGTGATTAATTATTCCGACACATCATGCCAGGCTGCCTATTTCTGCTGCCAAGCAGTAATGTGAGCATTACGGCGTTTTGGTTTTGAAGAGTAAGTAAGGGTGCTGGTGAAGCTCTAGGCAGCACTGCTACTGTTATGTATTACACGTATCGTTTACTCCGCACGACCTTTTCGTTTCGTCACTTGGTAACACTAAAAAAAAGATCGATAGTAAAGACTCCATGAAATAATTTAAGATGTGGGTACATCTTAAATCATTTATATATAAACTAATTTATATATAAATATAAACTCCAATTCTTTCTATTTATAAACAAGTCCACAACCAGTCGCAAACAATGTTACAATATATTTTTTGAGGTTATGTGAAATATGAAATAACTCCAAAAAATCTAATTTCACAAAAAATCTCAATAAATATATTGTAACAATGTTACATTTTTTATTCAGCCAGGGTTGGTAGCTGTAAAGGTATCTAACTGGGTGACGAAATACTTAAGGTTTCTCATAGATGGCGCTACGGCTAAAAAGTCGTTGAAAAAACCAAATACAAAGACAGGACAACAAACACATTGACAGGAAACACACACACAAAAAATTCGTGATGTCCGCTGGTTCGTTCCGTGGCTTAGTTGGTATAGCGTCTGGCACGGTATGCTAAAAGATGTTGCTTCGAATCCGGCCGGATCAAAGGACTTTTACTGAGTGTTCGATCTTTGTATTAATAATTATAACAAACTAGTGGAGTAATTTCACATGAAAAAAAAATTGAATATCAATTCAATAAAATTTTAAATAAATAAATTGTTAATGTAAATATGTTATTTTTCTAAATAGATAGATTTATTATTAATCTTACTAATTAGCGCAACGACAACGTTACAAATTCCATGTGCCTGTAATTTCATCAGCATCCTTACTCTTTAAAACCGGAACTCAGTAGGAACGCTCACATCACTGCTTGGCGGCAGAAATAGATAAGGTACTTTACCTGGACGAACTCTTTCACGAGGAGCTCTATAACTGCTACTAAAATTGACAATTCCGTATATAACACACTAAGAGTATCTGTAATAATGATTACCAAACACAAAAAAACGTTTACCTCTTCAGTGACAATCCTGGTATCTTCGGAGCTTATACCTAAACTTAATTCCCCAACATCGCCTGGTATAACACAGATTTTACTTGCATAATTCGGTTTCATTGTTCGCAAGCATTCGAATACCTACAACATTCATAAGTTTATACTTTTACCGTAATTTATTACTGGTATTTTGTTTTAACCTTCGCAATTTGTTTCTTTGACCTCGTCATGTGTGAACGATATTGTATGCTAATTTTACTACGTCAGTTACATTAATGTCGAAGTAAATTGAATTTGAAATTGCTTACACTATTCTTTATTTAGTAGTTACATTATTATTTATATACCTAGTATTTGTTTGGCTATGCACATGATTTAAAAGGAAGCGAAAATATTTAAAACATTTACGACATGTAATATTATTTCCAAATTAAGCAGCACAAAAGTCATATTATTACGCCTGATTCCCTTTTGCATCACATCCAAATTCAAATAAAGAAAATAATTTACTGACCGAATCATCTACCAATTGTGCGAGTCTCTCTTCAACCGTTTTCTGCTTCTTGGGTCGAAGTAACACGTAAATTTTTTTCACATTGCATGATCTGTAAACATTAGACAGAAAAATGTCTAACTGCGAAATTTTGTAACATTGTATGGTACACATATTTTTTTATGATCAACGGGACGAACAAGTCGTGCGCCTGGTAGTACCTAAGCGACACGCCTATCCATGACTGTTGCAGTGTCTCTCAAAGTTTTAAATCGCAAAGATTTGAGAGACACTACCCCTGCGCCTTTCATCCTGAGACATAATTTGACAAGTCTCATGTGGGTACCTGTAATATCATCAGCACCGCAATGCACACATGCTCACATTATTGCTTAGCGGCAGAAATAGGTAAGGTGCCAGTACTTCACTGGACGAACTCTTTCACAAAGAGCTTTATTACTACTATGTTTTCGAAGAATATATAACTACCAATACTTATTTTCTTTCAAAAATACATTCTTTTTTCTGAAAACGTCTAGGAATTTAGCAAAATTGATTAACAATTCCTTTATTATACCTTGATTGAGACAAAAGTCAAAGCCTAGGTTCCATTTTATTCTGTTGATTAACAGCTAAGTAGAATTAAATTATGTTCAAAGGGAAAGACAGCCAGACAGACCTTGGAAAGACTCTGGTGCGAATATAAATCAGCTACGAACTACAAGAATTTGTTGAAACAGATCTCTGCTACGCCTTGGGAATGCTGTTGCATAACTATCGCTTCGTCAGGACACAGTGACCATAACACCTAAATCGTATTTATAACGTTATTCAACAAATTAAACAAAATATTAAGAATAAAATCTCAAAAGTGACAAGAATATTAAAACATGAAGGACAAAGGTGCTGCATCTAGCAACCCAAATTATATCTGTTGAAGACGTTGAAATTTATAATAATAACATTGTATCTGTTGAAAACATACGAAGTTACAGAAATTTTATCTATTGATGACATTACGATAACTTTTCTATAAAAAAGACCTTAAAACTTTGTTCGTCCTATTCAGGTGTGTTCGCTACCGCGGTCTCCTCAACGATAATTGTAATGTATGTCGAAGTCTCCGTGAAAACGAATTATAGTTTGGACTTAAACACATGGTAGCTGCTCTATATTCTTGAGGAGTTCCTCTCATCTGTCTGTCATTTCTATCATCAAACCTTGTCTAGGTCACCATAATATTTTATTTTCACTGGAATACATCTATGTGCCACGATTTCGGTTAACGAAAAATGGGTGAAATTCAATAAACCGGGTTCATTCCCTAATTTCTCACCCTTAGAGGTGGAATATTATCTTCAAATTTAAATGAGACTACTTACTGCTAGGATACCCCTTTCCAACAAAAAAAAAGAATCATCATAATTGGTTTTAAATGTCGAAGTTGAACACATACAAAAAACAGTGGGATTGAGAAGCTCCTCCGTTTACGAAGTCGCTTAAAAACGTTGTCAATGTAAACAACTAATGACATGATTTCCTAGCGTTGTTATATGCAACCATCATGAAGCATACAATCTGTTTCATGAACTGCTTCATCCACCACAATATAATAAATTTCTTCATCATTAATAGACGCAACTAAAATTTCGGCGGAAATCACATAAAGCTTATACACTTTTGTTCGAGTTTCGCCTCCAATGCAACGGAACAAGATCCGTCAATGCGTACGACCTTTAATGCGATGTAGATTTTTAATTTTCGTCAAAATTAATAAGATTGAAAGTTATCGCTCTTATAGTTATGCAAAGCTTAAGATCACCGCCATTTTACGGAATTTTCACCAAAGACTTTAATGACAAAACTCAATACTAGTGTCACAATTTCATGGTTAAAAATAACTTCGAACTGTGGTGTGCTATGAGTACCAGAGCAACGGAATTCTCTCTGGGACACTAATCAGAACACCCAAACCAAAATCAATTTAGAAAAGTAAAGACACTATTTGGAATATTAACATTACATACCTTAATAGTTTTTCAATCAGATTTTTACCGAGAAAACCAGAACCGCCACTCACAAATATAACAGCATTTTCGTAGAACTGTTGTACCGTAGAGTCGCCACGTAATATGGTTTCATTGACTATGCTATTTTTTGTGATTTCCTCTAACAATATAGCTTGTGCTGGATCCATGTTCCTTTTAATATAAGAAATAGAAACACATGTTGGTTAGAAGTTGACAGTAAAAAATGTAGTTTCGCTGCATATTGAAGGTAAATATGCAGTGAAACTACATTTACATTGCAATATATACATATACATTGCAAATTTCCTAATAATTTACGCATGTTATTTTTCATACATCACTAAACCACAAGTAAATTTAACACATCGATCCGAAAACAGGGATTTATTAGAGCCAATGTTAATAATAATACTAATAATTGTAAAATATTCTTAGTTGTTAAAATAAAATAAGAGAAAAACATAGTTCACGGTAATATGGTGATAAAAATATTTTAACAACATCTATAAATTTGTATACTTAACTATGGTTATGAAGAAAATACCTAGCGAGTTATGCTAATGGTAATTGTATTAATTTTGATAAATCGAGATTTAAAAGGTTTTTAAATACGGTTTTACCATTTTACGTATGTTAACTTTACAATATATCTATAAAGTTTCTCAAGTAAAATGTTTACCGAGACACGCACAATTCAATGTAAACAATTCCTTTGTCATTTGGAATATTCTAGCGTATTGCATGGTACAATATAAATTCAAATCAGAATTTTATTCATGAAATATACCCTGTAGTATATTTTATAAGGTTTAAAAGCTTTTATTACTTACCCACAGCTAACCACGTTTCACACTACCGTTCTTTTTTAAAGTAATTATTTGCTATTTATTATAATGTGTCACTTGCTAAGTGTATAAATAAATAACTAAATTGTTCATTCGCTGAAAGGTTACAAAAAAGAATAAACACGTAACAATCAATGTCTTGGTAATTTATATTTACATATGTAAATTATTTATTTGATTGTATTTACATAATAAAATTGTAATTCGCTTAATAGTGTAGCAGTACCGTTTGTAATAAGTGTGTAATATACCATTACTGAATTAATGGTAGTTATGTTTTTTCTTTATATTCAGTGCATTTACATTAGCTTTAATACCGCATTCACACTGTCGTACTCGCTATTCGCATCGCCACTTGTCGAAACAATCGACGAAACATTCGTGTCGAGTGGCTGACGCGAACTACCGTTCACCCATTCGTGGGATGTTCCATTTGAAATCTCGCACACGAACGGAGTAGACTAAGAAACAGTAAAAACAGACAGACAAACACAGATTCTACGCAAAAAAAAGACGATGGCGGATGATAACGTGTCATCGCAAATGCGCGTGACAACTCGTGTTATATGTTTGTATATGTCGACGCCGCTTATGTCGACGGCCGTGTCGCTTACGGCGCGACACGGTTCAAACCGCTAACTTCACCGTATTATTATATTCGCTCGATCGCCGTCCACGTTGAACACATCATTGTACTGCTTTTAATTCTATTTTTTTATTACACGAGTTGAAACTTATACTGTCTCTTATTTATGTCATCCCCTGCGCTGACAGTATAGCTAACAAATTGACTATTTCTATATGCTTATAAATACCTACTCTCTTCAATTTGTTACAGCCAAACTATAGAGAGTATGTTTCAAGTAATGCTCTGTGAAGATTCTGGAGAATTCTCAATTTTTTTTAGAATGACACCAATTCATTTTAATTATTTGCTTTGAACAAATTAGTACTAAAATATCCATTTTACAAGGTGTATGTGTTATCGGGTCGGGCGTTAGCTGTTAACCTTCCTATACCCGCGTATTGGTCTGTCAGACCGACAGTTTCGGTTTGCGTCTTTTTCTTATTAACGGAAAATGTTAGCACATTGGGCTCACTGCTAGCTGCGTGAATCGTCGCCGGCGTCTATTTAGTGTGGCGCGAGTGCTTGCGCGGGTAACACATGTGACAGTACACGACACCGGTTGGTCCAGGAGACCGACGCGGGTATAAAAAAGCGATACTGAACAAGAGGGAGATTCTGACAGCGAAGTAGAGGATCGAAGAACTTTTAGTGAATAGTCACTATGGGTCGTTGTTATTATTGCAGCTCCAAAAAAAATCGCAAGACGCGATATAACTGCACTACTTGCAAGAAATATTTTTGTATGGAACATGCAATTATGGTGTGCTCTGACTGCTATGGTGGACCATCAGAGGAAATTTAATCTATAGTCTATTATTGTTTATTTAGTTGTTTTCAAGATTTAAGAGATTTTTTTTTGGTTTGATTTCAGAAGAGATATTTTTTGTTTAAATTTATGTAGTTTATAAGAATAAGTACTGTATTTCAAAGGCTGTAATAAAAAGACTGTTAGTCAGTAATAAACATTAATATTGCCATAAATTTCGTTTATATTGATTGTGCAAAAGTCCCTTTTAATCGTAAATTAAATTTTAGTGTGGTTATAATGATAGATATTTATTTAGTAAACGTTAGAACTATCGAGTCCGAGAGACCGACGCGGGTATATGTGTTATTGTATTTGACGCGGGTATACGAAGGTTAACTGAAGCGGGACGATTATGTAAACACTAAGTACGCATCGCCACTCGGTCTTTTGACTCGTGCACGAACGATAGCTGACGACGTGATGGCACAAGTGGCAATGCGAGTCACGACGCGAATAGCGAGCTGACTGTATAATGCCTTGTCAGCTAACCTTCGACTAAAACTTCGACCGTTAATGATTAATTGAATGAATGCTATCACTGCCATTCCACTGACAATATATTAAGACTCAACTGCCATTTCTAGATTTTAGCAGAATAACAAATATTGTCATACTTAATTGCAATATAATTTCAGTGGAGTCTCAATATAATTACAATGACCAGTGGTTTCAAAGTAAATTAGCACCCACCACTTACACATACAGGGACCCACTTACATATTTTTTTATTTTTTCAACTTATTTAAAACAAAACGAAACAAAAGGCATAAAGATACCACACTCAAAAAGCGTAAAGATACCTGATAATTATTATATTTCCTCATTTTTTTTCTTTTATGCATAAATTTTTTTGACGAACATCCATCCTAAAGTATGATATGCATCTTTGCATAGGTAGATACGTAACAGATTACACAAGATGCCGTGGAGTTCTTTGGGATACCAATGTGCACATTCAAACAAAACTCGTGTAAAACAAATGCCTTTTTATTATCCTATTATCACAGTTCATTAATTCGAGAAAGAACAGCACGTATGAGTATTAACTTGACACTGTTGTAATAAAAATTAATTTGTATAACACTAGAAAGTCCTGTAGCGTCACAGGTCGCAAGTGTTGTTGTCGCGTTGTCGCCAAAAAAGTCGGTTAAGCCCAATCTGCAACAAGCTCATAGAGAAATTCATGCGGTCTGCTGAGCTGGTCTGTAGCTCACTTAGTAAGAGCGGTAGCCCCTGAGTGGCAACAGTCGCTGTTTCTATTTCGGTCAGACCGAAAAATTTTTCTTTGTGTTGTTCATATTGATCTTAGCATCAATAATAATAACAAACAGGTTGCTAATTTTGTAAAGAAAGATAGAAAATAGGTACGTTTATTTGCATACCACAAATAGCACCACACAAGAAAAAAAAAAGAAAAAACAGCACAGAAAAAAGAAAGAAAAATTTGAAAAATAAACATAATTAGGTACATAATGTTAAATATTCATGTAATGGATGATGAAGCCTGCTTTGGTGGAAAACGACGTACGTATGTAATTTAGTAATAATAGGTGAGCGAAGCTTGTAATAAGTTAAGTTTTTTTTTTCTCTATGTTGGTCAATAAACTAAAAAACAAAAATAAAGGTACATCCGTATGAAAGTGTTCGTCCAGAGAAGTACTGCCACCATACCTATTTCACTCACCAAACGTTTACTGTATTCCGGTTTTGAAGGATAAGGGTGCTGACGAAACTATAAAGACATGAGTTGTCAACTTTATGTCTGAGAGTGACGGGTGCAGTGGCAGTGCCACTCAGAACTTTGCAATTTAAAGTGTCACGTACCAGCACACGCAAGTTTGTTCATCCCATCAATTGGTGTCATACAAAAAATTGTGATGCTGGCCAAAAAACTCTTATTATATTAGAATAATGATTGATCTCATTTTCATCACGCGATGACTTTCATCTAATAGCAAATAACAGTGAAAGCAAATGAAAGTTTTTGGAACGTTTTCCTCATTGCATTTGGAAGAGAAATATTACCTATAGCTAAATAATTTCCGTGAAATCGTTGGCGTGATTGGGTATTTTCTTTACATTGCGACTATTACGTGTCGGTAGCCCAGTTAGAGAACGGGTGCTTCTCAAATGAGAAATCGACGGTCCACATCCTTGTAGTGACATGTATGAATTCGAAGTTACGTTACATGTTTGAATATTTAATATCACTATCTCTTATTAACGGTGAAACCTGCTTTGGGAAGAGGGTACGTAACCAATGGCAAACAGTGTTAGGTATACGTCATTGGTTAGTGTGTATGAGATTTTAGAAGGGGATGTGATTTGGATGGGATTTTAATAAGAAACAAGGGTAGCTGTACACGTCCGCTCCGCACCGTACTGGCTGAGCTGTCTGGGTTTTAACGCGTAGTTTTCGTAGCGTCACCGCCGCGGAAGCTCTTAATGATGGACCACGGACTGGCCCGAAATATGAGGAACAAAAATTCGACTTAAATACGTCAGTAAGAGCGATGCCACACAGGCGCTGCCTGTGAGTTGCATCATCGACGTTATGATTTCAATGCAACAAGTGCCACACGAGTGTTACGGTGTCGCACCGCAACACTCCTCTACGCTTCGTCTCCTGGCACCTTGTCCGAAGCGCACGCGTTCCGTCGTCGTCGCGCACCATTTCAAACATAGATATAGGCAATACCTAAATCTACGGTTTCAACTCACCCTGGGCCATGTAGTTCTAATTTAAATGTAGTACAGCGTAGCGTCACATCCTCAGAAACTTCTCTAACAGTGATTCGATGATCTTTCATAACAATTTTCTTCATTTTTTTCTATAGCAAAAAATAGCCAAGCACATCAAAACACGCTTAATTCTTATATCTGTCA